TACTTGGCTGGCAATATATGATCTGGCTTTGCGCTCAGATTCCATCTGCAGCCCAAAGCCACGCAACCAAAGCTTCAGCTTTCGGACTCTGTTCCACGGGAGCTGAAGATCGGCTTTCAGTGCTAGCAGTGAGCCCTCGCCTGGGGCTGTTGGTTTCAAGCCAGCCTCTTTCAGCAGCTCCTCTTCTTCTGCGCTGCTGAGACACTTCAAGCGAGCCACTTCCTGCACTCGAGCAGCCTCCTGGCCACCTGACGCTGTCATCTCGGCTTGCTCCAGCGCAAGAGATCTGCGCCGCACAGTCCTTGCACTGGCATCGACAGACGATTTTTCACACACAGTTGTGCGTGTGAACGTCTGTGGCCTGCCCTGGCTACCTGCTTTCTCTTGCAATGTACCATCTTGTACTTTGGCTGTCACAAGGCGGCCAGTTAAATTATCGGCCACAGAGCCTTTCAATTTGCTGGGGGGGGAGCAGTGAGTATGTCAGCAACGACTGTGGATTTGCTGATAGCTCATATTGGGTTGGATTCATTGGCAGGATTAAATGTACACTTTGACACATGACCTTTCAGGTTTTCTAGCGTAACAACTGCTGGGCATCCACGAAGAGCTGGTTCATGGAAGTCACAGTGGACGGACCAGTTCGCAAGCAGTTGACAGAACAGGTCGCTTGGCTTTGCCAGTTCTGAAGCACGCAGTGTATGTTGGCAGGCTGGACACTGCGCACCGTTGGTTAATGCTTGGCATATGCATTTCGTGCAAAATACGCTAGAACAGCATGGTGACTGAACACCATTGCTCGGCATGCTGCGGCAGATCTTGCATTGTACTGTGGCTGCTGCACTGCTGTCGGCAAATCTTGACATAGTCAAATCGCACTCTGCTTCGTCATCAGGTGCAGATATGTCATGCACGTCACTTTCAGGTATGTCCATGCCATTGCTAGATGCACCTGCACTGCTACTTCTTGATGTCATTTTTGCTGCTCCGCTTGCTTGGTCGGCCACCCTTCGATTTTTCTTGAAACTTGGTGCAGACTCGGCAATTCACAGGTTCATGTCTTTTCCAACTAAATGTTACCCCTTGTCCACAACCACCACCACTGGGATTGAACTTTTCTGTGCTCTGTGATCTCTTCAGCACTCTTTGGCAAAGAGCACAGATATATGTTGGGTGAATGGTAGGGTCGTCATTACAAACATCAATACTGAATACATTTTTCATCGTTTCGCTGTAGTCAGACACTGGATATCTCGTCTGTTGGGAGCACGCAGTAAATTTTGCGCCTCCAACACGGCATAGATGCTGCAAATGCGCTGCATGGTGCTCCATGTCGTGCGCTGCGTCGCAGATGTGTATATCTCCCACTGGAAACAGAGAAAAGTAAAGGCCCATCGTATTTTTGAGTTCACCATCGTATTCTAAAGAACTTGCGAAAATATACAGGACAACTACCCGAGGATGCGAGGAAAACCTCGAGTGGTGACTGAATAACTCCAGAAAACTTACCACGAGCGTGATGAAGGTAGCTAACAATATACTGACAGCAATTTCAGTCTATAATTCCACTGCGCCAAAACAGAAAGCAACTTCCTTCTCCTTCCACCGATCAAGGAACGTTTGGTACCAAAATTTTGCTTGACGCGTCAGCTTTCCACCCCCGCAGATTTAGTATCAAAAATGTGGGGCTATCGGCAGTAAATCGCGGAAGAATGATAGCAACTCACCTTAATCTCAACGTAAAAATGACTAATCTTTGATTTTTGCAAAAATCAGCGGGGACCCCCCGCCATGTTAGATGGCCAAAAATCGCTGGCTGAAACAGCCGTGTATCGCCTATAAGGTTGGCGGCTATAGTAATATACCGGACATAGTGATCAATTTCTCAAATTCATTTTCATTTGCCATAACTAAGTATACACAGTTATCGCGTATAGTAATAATCGTCTATAGTAATATATCGCCTATAGTGATCAAGTTCATATTTCAAAAAGACCTTTATCACATTATTTTTGATAAAGCTATGAATAGGATGAAGGCCGCAGACATCACGCAACTACGTTACTTGTTTGACATGTATTACTGTGTATTTTATAACAAAAATATGATTGAAAACCCAGAATCGATTTTCTCGTTCTTATCAGTGGGAAAAAATACGGAACTAAGGATACAACCAAAGCAACTGAAGTTTTAAGTACTGGAAATAGAAAGGTGTTAGAGATAACATCAAGATACAAGTGCAATAAAACCACTAGAGGAAACGATGTGTGTATGATGACTCTCATTTCTCTGTACTGTGTCGTGCGCGTTATGTCCAACAGTTGAAAGTCCTTGAGGCAGTTTGTATCCGTATTCATAAGCCTGTTTTGTGTAAGCAGAAAGAGCACGTTGTTGCACTGAAGTTGTATTCGTAGGTTGACACTTCGTTCAGTGCCTTCTCGCCTTTGGTTACGTAACTTATTCTTGTTACCTTTTTGCGTTTCCTCTAGTGGTTTTATTGCACTTGTATCTTGATGTTATTTCTAACACCTTTCTATTTCCAGTACTTAACTTCAGTTTCTTTGGTTGTATCCTTAGTTCCGTATTTTTTCCCACTGATGATAGGAACGAGAAAATCGAAGTCTGGGTTTTCAACCATATTTTTGTTATAAAATACACAGTAATACATGTCAAACAAGTAACGTAGTTGCGTGATGTCTGTGGCCTTCATCCTATTCATAGCGTTATTAAAATTATTAATATTATCTCCATGTAGATTATTTGTACATTATTTTTAATTCGGTTATAGTGATTGATGCAAAATCAAGCGATGTCAGAGGAGAACAGGGTGTTACTTCTTCGTGAAGAACTTGTCCAGTGAGTGTTGTTTGGTGAGTTTTGCTCGTACAAGTTGCCAGAATATGCCTCCATCATGAGGAAATGCTGATTTTGTGTGTCAGGAGCTACAGCCAGCTACATGACATTGTACATGTATGTAGTGGGTATGTGCACGGCGCGCTGAGTCGTTTGACACCCCATTCGCATACATTGCATGCAGTATCGGTCATAATAATATATCGCTTTTAGTGATAAAATGTGTGGTGTAATAAGCAACATCATGACAGAACTCTATCCCTGGGCATAGCATTGTCTGGGCCTGCAACTCTTTCCGTTAGGGGAGATGTAGTGTAATAAGTAGCATCATGACAGAACTCTATCCCTAGGCATATCATTGTCTGTCTCCTGGTTTCTCCTTCCTACTCCCTACACGCATTGATCTAACGTGTGTACTTGTATAAGAACCGCAGCCTGCCTGCTGTACCATTGACTCATGCATTCATGTACCGCTGCACTTGCTGGCTGCGCATCACTAACCCTTCCCCTTCTATGGCACAGTCCCCGCACTGAATGCAGTACTCGGGTGCGCGTGCGTATTCATGTCTGAGTGCACTGCCCTCGGGCTCCATCTATACATGGCATCCCGTACTGGGCACACTGCTTCCGGTCGCTGCTGTGTGCACGCAGCACCGCCGTCCATTCCGCTCTCTGTCTTCTTTACACAGTGATTCCTGATTGGAATCACTCTTCGTTTCTGCTCTCCTTACGGTTAGTTGTGCTTTTCCGTGTCCGAGAATGTTCCCCCTTTTGCAATAAACAGTCAGGCGAAACTACTCTAAGTAGCTACCGCTACATGGCGCAGTGAACAGGATCAGTGATAAAAAAATAACATTGATCCGCAACAAACCTGGTCTGCAACTTCAGGATCTAGGATGGCTCGCGTTCGACAACGCCGGCGATCGCGATAAATCTCAGGAAGTGGAGACGAAACTCTCGGCCGTGTCCAATGTCGGCCACGGACGAACGATGTTCGAACGCGACACACAGTTGCCATCCGAGACCGTGGACGAGTCACTTCTGCGTCGTCTCTACGGCGGCGCGGACAACGGCGACTTCAAGGACGCTCGCGATGACCGCATTCGCGATCGCTTCACGACACACCACTGCAAGCCAACAGCTGCTACAAAACTCAGTGTCTGCTCTAGGATTGTAGGACAGCCGGGTACACGTGTACCTGGCGCAACCATTTCAACCGGGTCGGAGCCGGGTACACATGTACCTGGCGCTGTCTCACCAGCCGAGTCGCATGCTTTAACCCTTTGAGAGCCGATTGGAAATTTCAAAATTCTGCATATTTTCATGTTGTTTGGGGGTCTTAACTGGTTGGTTGGTTTATTTTAATTCGGACAATAAACGGGAACTAGGCCCAATGATATAAAGGTTCAATTCGGACAATAAACGGGAACTAGGCCCAATGATAAGCCGCGTTTAGAAAAGAGAGGACAGGAATTAGAAAATTACGAAAGAAGAAGAAGTATCTGACACATACTCGAAGTACAAGCCATGTAGTCAGTCCTTTCAAAGTAATTAGTTCGAAAGTGTAAAGTACCAACCGGGTCGCAGGTGACCCGGTACTATATTTTCAACCGGGTCCAAGCGCCGCCCAACCGGGTGGATTACCCGGCTCACCCGGCGCTGGAGCAGACACTGAACACTGCAACAGCTCATCGCAACGGCTCACTGCAACCGCTTACTGCAACAGCTTACTGCAACAGCTCACTGCAACAGCTTACTGCAACAGCTCACTGCAACAGCTCACTGCAACAGCTCACTGCAACAGCTCACTGCAACAGCTCACTACAACGGCTCACTGCAACCGCTTACTGCAACAGCTTACTGCAACAGCTTACTGCAACAGCTTACTGCAACCGCTTACTGCAACAGCTTGCTGCAACAGCTTACTCAAAATGCTCAAAATCAAACACCAACGCTATAGGCGATACTGACTGTACTTGGAGGCAGAACTTTCTGGCACATCATGAATGTTGCCTGATGATCATTTTATGTAACAGTCCAATTGCAGCTACATACACACCCTATAGGGGATCTTCACATTGTGTTGATAAAAAATGACCTGACTAGGACAATGATCTGTGTCCTGTAACATTTGTGTTCTCCTCCAGTGCTGAGGTGCGCATTAGGACGCATCCATATCCAGCATTACGGGCGGCTTACCAGCAACTTCCGTTCGCTCTTTCAGCATCCACACCAACAAGACATCATCTGCCAGAGCGAATCAGCACACCACCGCCACTGCAAGCCATTAACTATGAGAGTGAAGACGATCACAGTCATATGTATTCTAAAGTGGAAGCTGTGTCTCCACCGTCACAGGCGCGCCGAGCACCAATCGCCATGCCGTTGTCAATTCCATCACCACCAGCAGCTCCCCGACCGCGATTGTCAGTGGTGCCATCCGCTACCATGGATTATTGCGAACGTGTTAGCCCAGTGCATGCCATTGACGAGGTAAGCAATATGTCCAGAGATTTATACTGTGTATGTGAGTACGGTTCGACTTTTTCGAGCTCCGTAGTTTTTCGTGCGATTTATCAGCCCAGCCGGCACCAGGCCGGTCTGGAGGTAGTTACAGGGTAGAAGAGAAGAGTGGTAAGTAGTAGATAGTCTAGGCAGTGCTACTAGGTAGACACAGGTAGCTATGCCGGCCAGAACTGCCACTCGCAGCCTGACGGAATCGGAAATAAAACTTTTGAGCTCCATCCCTGAAATCGAATCGTCCGTCTTTGAAATTGTCAAGACGCTGTCAGCACTTGTGTCGGAATCTGCAAACCGGGAAGTCCGTCTCAAAAACCGGATTGAAGAACTGGTCATGCAGATAACAGGACTGAAAGAGGAGGTTGTCGCCATGAAGGAGTCTGCCATTGCAACGGCAAGTGTTACCTCTCCTCTGGCTGAACAACAGCCCCAGAGTACGACGAGGCGGAAGGGATCTCGTAGCCGTGCCCGTACGCGAAGAGACCAGGTCACCAAGTGCACTGGTGCAGCGGCAGAAGAACACCGTAGCGCTTTCAAACGCGTAAGAACCCCACCAAACAAGGAAGGCATTCGTGTATGTGGGAAATCTGCACGCGGATTGCACAGAGGAGCGAGTGACAGAGTTCACTCAGCAGCGATCTGTGGCCGTGGCCAAATCTGTCAAGGTCCATGAGTGCAGCGTGCACACCACGGAAGACGGGAAAGTCTCCGCCCGATTGACGCTCGACGCCACTGGCTTAGAAACAGTCACTGCTGCGAACTTCTGGCCACGACTGCTTTACGCTCGAGCCTGGCGACACCGCAAACGGCCGCAGGGTGACAGCTCATCTGGTGCATCTGGCGCCGGCAATGTGGGCAGCAGAGGCGATAGGGACAGTGAGGCAGAGGCTGCCTCAGCTGGAGCGATTCAGCCACACAAACACCAATGAACACCAGCTGCGCAAGGACATACCCAGTAATGAAGCTCCTGCTGACATGTTTTTGGGCTGCTGTCAAAGTTTGGAGCCTTCCAGCATGCTGTTGCATGGAGCAGATCTGACATCGCCATCGTAACAGAGACTAAATTCACCCCGGAGAAAGCCTCACTACTTGACTCCTCCATGCCGGGCTTCCACCCACCGCTCCGACTTGACCGATCTGCTCAAGGTGGCGGAGTTGCAGTCTAGGTCCGGGACTCCCTCTCCTTTGACCACCTTAGTGACATCAACTGCCATGGCCATGAGGTCATCTGGCTTCGCCTGCACCTGGACAATGGCCAGAAAGTAGTTGTATGTGCAGTGTACCGACCCGGGTCGTGCCCTGGACAAGATGTCTTTCTGCTTGAGTATCTTGACTCAGTCATGGATCAAGCTCGATCCCTCGGGAACAGCATTGTGATAGCCGGGGATTTAAATGTTCATGATGAAAGCTGGCTATGCAGCACGAAGACTACACCAGCTGGTGAATACATGGAAGAACTCTCTGCGTTCCACGGGCTCCACCAGCACGTTACTCAACCGACACGTGGTGAGAACACCCTGGACCTCATACTCAGCGGTTTCTCGGAGACCTCAGTGGTGGTAAATGTACTGGACCCCATTGGAGCTTCAGACCATGCCACCGTTGTGGCCACTTTTGATGCCACCCCACTCCGCGAACCACCAACTAAACGGCGCGTTTGGAGGTATGCTCAGGCAGACTGGGGCCGGCTTCGGCACTTCTACTCAACAGCAAACTGGGATATATCAGAAGACCCCGAGGCGTCCTGCAGATTAGTAACCGCTGTTGTCATGGAAGGCATGAATTGCTTCATCCCACACAAATAACTTCGACGAAACCAACAGATCCATCCTGGTGGACACCGGAGTGCTCAGCCGCTACCCAGGCAAAGAAGAATGCATGGAACCGTCTCAGGAGACACTCCACCTGCCACCAGCAACTCATTGAATACAATGCCAAAGTCCGAGCCTCTGCCAATTGCCTTCGTCTCGCAAAGCAGGCAGAATCTGCCCGCATCCGAGATCGGCTCAAACATGGATCACTGCGAAACAAGCAATGGTGGTCACTCCTGAAGCAAGCTGCAGGCTCTGGCCGCAGCTCGTCTATCCCTGTCCTACACAATGCCCAGGGCAGAGAATATGTCACTAACCAGGAAAAGGCTACTTGCTTTGGAGAATTCGTTGCGAGCAAATGCAGTCTGGGTGATCAAGATCTACAGCACTCCGACCTTCCTGACTTTCCTCCTAGGTGTACATCTGCCCTGACAACTGTCCGATTTCGGGAAGCGACAGTCCAGCGCCAGCTCCGCCAGCTGGATCCAACCAAGGCTACCGGACCCGATGGCATCCCCGCCAGAGTTCTGAAGCAGTGCTCAAAAGTTTTGGCTGCACCACTTGCCAAGCTGTTCTCACTCTGTTTTCGGTGCCATGTCCAGCCCTCTCTCTGGAAAGTAGCCCGTGTGGTCCCGATACACAAGAAGCAATCTCATTCTGCTGTTAAGAACTACCGACCTGTGTCCTTGTTATCTGTTGTCTCCAAAGTCATGGAGAAGATTGTCAACACTGCCATAATCAATCATCTTGAGCATGAAAAGGCCCTGTCCATCCACCAGTACGGATTCCGGCAGGGGCTCAGCACATCTGACCTTCTCACGTCTCTCAACCACTCCTGGGTCTCCGAAGTCAACCGTGGTGGCGCAGTCCGCGTGCTGGCTGTAGACATAGCAGGAGCATTCGACAAAGTTTCACACCGAGGCGTGCTCCACAAGGCTGCGTCATACGGCATCACTGGTCCCCTCCTCAACTGGCTGTCTGACTACCTGTACGACAGGAAGTTGCAGGCAGTAGTCGGCGGAGCATCTTCAGAACCATACAAGATTGATGCTGGGGTCTCACAAGGGAGCATCCTTGGGCCCACACTGTTTTTGCTGTACGTGAATGATGCCTGCGACGTCCTACCGGAAGGGATCACTCCGGCTGTTTACGCAGATGACACCACGCTTTATACCCACATCCCAACGCCACATGCTGTGACAGAAGTGTGCCGCAACCTCCAAGCTGGTGTGGATGCAGTTGCTGAATGGGGTGCTCAGTGGCGCGTCACTTTCGAGCCAACAAAATCACAGGCCATGACTGTGTCCCGCCACCGCAGACCCTGGGAGACACCACCCATCCAGCTCAACGGCACAGCGATCCCGGAATGCTCGCGGCTGAAGCTCCTTGGAGTGACGTTTGATGCCCATCTATCATACTCGGAGCATCTTCGAGGAACTGCAGTGCGTGCCACACAGCGAATTGGTTTCTTCCGGAAGTCGTGCCATGTCCTGGACCCACCGGGTCGGGCCACAGCTTACCAGGGGTTCATTCGGCCTCTAATGGAGTACTGCCCACTTGTATGGATGGAAGCTGCGGCTACCCATCTCTCACAGCTGGACCGAGTCCAGCATCGTGCCCTCGCCCTGATTGGGACAGGGGCTGCAATGGACACTCTGTCCCTGCGGCGCCGTGTGACCGGCCTCACAACTCTGTACAAGCTCCATCACATCACAAGCCCACCAGCTCTTACAGCGACACGCCCAGCCAGAGCCATCGCACCCGCCATCGCGCCTGCCACACGTCGCCGCTCGGCAGCCAACCGCACGAGCTTCAACTCTAGACATCCCTACCTGCCAGATCGTGCAATGTTGCGCTGCACTCTTTCCCGGAGTGCCTCATCGAAGCCTGTAATGAACTGCCAGCCACTCTCCTCCATGCACTGTCTGCCAAAAGGATGCAGCAGTTCAAGGTTCTGACCTACCACTACCTGAAACGGTCGGGTTGGTCAGTTGCCACGGACATCGCCCCCTAGGCTACAGCCAGTACGACCCTGGTCATGTTCTCGGAGCACTCCCTTCTCATCAAACTCCCAATTCATCTGTCTTTATCCCTCTCTAACTCTCCTCCATTCTCACTCTAATCCTTCGTCAAAACTGCACGGAAATCAGCCTCTACTTTCGCCTCAGCATCATGATCTTGATACTGCTATCTTTGTACTTGTTTGCGTACTTGTTTGCACTCATATCTTGGAATAACAAGTTTCCTGGTTTCCTCCCCTCCCTCCTCTCCTTCCTACCCTTAGAGTTCTTGCTCTCCTGCTCTCCTGCTCCCCTCCCCGCCCTTCCACTCCCCATTTTGTTTCCTTTGGTGCACATGTGCAGCTGTGATGCCGAGACCCTTGGTCGGCTGAGCTTCACAAGTCCCACCCACTCCGTCCTGCTGGATATGTACCATTGTGTCGAGTTCTTCTCCTTATTTTAGTTCATCATGAACTGAGTGTTCAATAGTAAAAAAATGTGGGGAAATGTCAGAACCGTATTCAGGGCAACTTCAGGCGCACGGTTGTCTTTTCGTTTTCTCTCTTTGATAGATGCATATGATCTGAGTTCAGGGCTCACAGCAGGTATGCCAAAACCTCCATTACGTGGGAGGACATCTTGGATTCTCCTTGAACGAAACGGAATGGATTCACAGGAAGTGTGAGTTACGAAGTTTGAAGAAAATGTTGAATGGTCTCTGGTGGGATGACGACTACACCATAGCTCAGTGGTTAGAGCATCGCTGGCTACAAGCGAGGGTCCCTGGTTCGAGTCCTGGAGGTGACAATCAATTCTTCTTCAGACTTTTCCTGTTTGCGTCTTTCACTTGAACCAGTGAAAAATAACAATAGTAATAAATTGAAACAAGGAAAACGGTGGGCACAAGTTATGCGTTGGAGTCCACCAACTCAACCAGGGTTTGAACATTGACTCAGACGTGCACAAGGTAGTACCAAACTGACAAGGAGAACTGAGACATTCCACAGCAAGGAAGTGAGCTTGAGCACTGCTTGATAGCGGTAACCAACGGCCTTCCAACTTGGAAGGCTCATGGACTCAGTCTCTAACATAACTTGTGCCCCACCGTTTTCATTGTTTCAATTTTTTTATTTTCCTTGGCTCACCATCTGAGTTCTCAATAATAATAATAATAATAATAATTTTAATATGGCAATAAGTAGGACGAGCTGAAGCGACATGTGGACTACTTTATTAACAATGTAAGCGATGGAGACGATGCAAGAAACAGCCTAAAGGGTAAGGAAAAATACATGTAAGAAGAAAAAGGCAATGGAAAAAAAAAGATGATTCGAACAAGTTTTCGTACAACACTCTTCAGGAATCACCGTTGTACTAAAGAACAAAATGAGAACAAAGGAAATAATATAGCAATCAAGGTAGGGTGACACGATACAATAACAGCACTGGAATATCGAGGTGCGATTTCTCACAAAAGTGTGCAGAAAACAAGGGTATACAAGTAAGAACTAAGCGTGACAGGTGTGTATCAGCAACAAAAACAAAACAAAAGTGAGAACGAATGATAATAATAACAATAATTATACAAGAAGGTGACAAAACACATTTAGGCACAAGTGGCAACAACGTTGCCACACTACACAACAGAACATTATTTGAACAATTTTAGGGTAATAACACTATCTTTCTGGACACACAAATTCGGCTTATGAATGCGCTGACAAACAGCTTCCAAAACTTGTAACTGCAAAAGATAACCATGACGAGCACGGCACAAAACAGAAAAACAGGAATCAGAATAAGTACGACAACAGTCAGTACTAGAAACCAAATGATTGTATACTGAAGACTTGTTATTACGAGACGGACGCACACAATCTCGACTCACGCGCACACCCTCACACTCACTCTCACCCTCACTCAGCTCACCTTCTCCCTCACTGTCCGAATCAGAACCTGTTCGAATCATCTTTTTTTCCATTGCCTTTTTCTTCTTACATGTATTTTTCCTTACCCTTTAGGCTGTTTCTTGCATCGTCTCCATCGCTTACATTGTTAATAAAGTAGTCCACATGTCGCTTCAGCTCGTCCTACTTATTGCCATATTAAAATTATTGTCTCCTCGTCGAATTTTTAAATAATAATAATAATAATAATAATAATAATAATGGGAATTGTGTGTTGCTCCCTATGTGGGAGCTTGCGCTATTCCTGCCGACTTGAATTCTCACTTGACTGACTCCCGACTGCCGTCCAGAGCACACGAGAAGTCGATCGAATCTTCCACTCGGCAAACCTGCAAGAAAGCACCACTCCCTGCTCAATACCCAGTGTGCAGTCGATAGTCAGTTGTAGAGGGTTCTTAAAGGCACATTTGCCTGGGGTGAAGTCAGGTGTTATTTTGAAAATGGAAAATGGGTTAGGGGTAACTGTTTTCCCTGCCCCCCCCCCCCCTCCCGTACTGTTTTCACCTGCCTAGAACCCTACAACATGGAATACAAACTCAAACAAATAAACATACTTGCAACAAAGAAATGCCGCAGGAACAGTCCAGTCGACTACGGAGAACAAGAACAGCATGTAACTCGCGCGCGCGCGCGCACGCGAGTCGCACTTCACTTCGATTTTTTGCCGCGGAATTCAAATCGCGATTTTCTTGACTTTTTCCCCAAACGTTGTGGTCATGTTTTGGTGCGCTCTGGCTGATATAGTTATGCGATTTCCAACTTTCCAACATTCCCTGTACTATCCTGAAGAGAAGGGAAATAAAACGTTTGATAGATGAAAGAAAGTGTCTACTTGGTTGCGTTGATGTGCGTCGTTGCATGCGAAAGTGTAGATTGCGAAATGACATGACATTTTATTTTGCTTAAATCCAACTCGATTTGTGTTAGGCATTTCTGCGTTAGACATTTCTGCATGGGAAGCGTAGTGTTTGAAATGCTAAACATTTTCAAGTAAAAATCGGGAGTAGTTGGCGTACGATGTTGTCTCTTGTTCACACTCAAAATGCAGCCGTTTCGTACGCTTGCGTCTCCACATACGGTATGAAACGTAGAACAGATTCAACTTTTCCCGGATCCCGTCGCTTCCCGATCCGTACGGTAGTAGTGTACGGTTGCTTTGCCAGTCCTGCAGCCTGGTGTTCTCATTAGACACCGTCAGTCCTGCAGCCTGGTGTTCTCATTAGACACCGTCAGGCCGTCCCGTCGATTCCCATCGCTCCTTACATAGCGCTCCGTAGAATGTGAACTAGGCTTCATCGCACTTCAAACTGCTTTTTATCTTTTTAAAGTGGTGGAGAGTTACTCATAATTTGTACCCATATTCACTAATATTCACTAATACATTTTTACATATATTTTGGTTCAGTATCCGGGTTCCAGGTATGCAACATATTCTTCTTTTCCAGTTATAGGGTTGGTGAAAATGCGAATGAAATTGCTTATGGGGTCCAGTCTCAGAGACCGATTTCTCAGTCCTAACCGGCTCCTGTGTTGGAAAAAGACTTTTACAAGGTATTTATTGTGGTCATATGTGTTGCTGCAGGTTCCACTGGAAGATGAAAGAGAGCTGCGTGAGTTTGCTGCAAAGTTCAAGGACAGGCGTATATCACTGCGTCTAACGCAAGTCCAAGTTGGTCAGACTATCGGTCAAATGGGCATGCCAGACTTTGCTCAGAGCACTATTTCTCGTTTCGAAAAACTGACGCTGAGCTACGAGAATGCGATGAAGTTGCGTCCTTACATTGAAAAGTGGATGTCGCTAAGCGACCATGAGGCATTGTCAATTTGTTCTCCTGCAACCGCTGCCATTAGCTCATCAGCCGCCAGTGGCCGAGTCAATGCTGAAAATAACAATCCTGCCGCCAATAGAAGTGACATGGACATGGCACAGTCCAGTGTTGTCGCCACTGCTGTTGCTCCACAAGATCTGCAGCCTGCTGGCAGCATTGCGTATCAAGTTCAGCCCAAGAATTTCATCCCCGTGTCGGCTGCTACACGTGTTTATGCCATGCCAGTTCAGGCTGCCCATGACCCAGAGTCCCATCATGGTCAGCTCCATCGCCACCAGCAGAAGTACCAGCAACAGAAGGAACACCAGCAGAAGGAAAAGCAGCATCAACACCACCGGCAGCAACACCAGCAGTACCCACACCCAGTTCACAACTCTCGCGTAGCAGCAGCAGCACATCAACCGGTTTTAATGGAAGGCATGCATATGGCAGCTTCAGGATACAGCACAGACTACGCAAAGGCCTATCATCAACCGCAGAACCCTCATTCCCATCATGCACAGCCCAGTACTAGCAATCCTCACCCCGTCACCTATTATGGCTCTGGACAAGGCGTGCTGACGGCTTATGGGCATTCAGCTCTCATGACTCCAGTGGATATCCGGACACCATCAAATAGCATGCTGATGATACCAGCTCTTCGCAAAAGAAAGCGTCGTCTCGTGCTGGATCAAGACAAAAGAAAATATTTGGAGGAGAGCTTCAGAACGCAGCCAAGACCATCGCCGGAAGATCTCGGCCGAATTGCTCACATGCTCAATCTGGAGAAGGAGGAGGTTCGAGTGTGGTTCTGCAATCGACGTCAGAAGGAGAAACGACTTACAGGGGCCGGCCCTGAAAGCAGGCAATCTGCCCATATGGATCTCGAGTCGTATGATGGTAATGTTGGAGGAGATGGAGCTGGAGATGTTGAAAATACACAAGCCCTGTCCGGTCACAGCTACGATACACACCACTCTCCTGAGGCACATGAGGTTGGAGTGAATGAGGTTGATCTGAACAGCAATCATGACATTGACCAGGATGACTACTATGACCAACTAGTCCAAGTGCAGTCCCCACCTGGTGGTGCTGGCCAGGTTGGAGTTGCTTCCAGTGGCCTAGCACAGCATACACACGTCCGCAATCAACGCCACGCTGACCAACTGGCCAGAGAAATACCTGGTGCTGAGGAAAGCCATCCCTATGGGTGCCTATAAGTCATGTATATAGCTGAGGTTAAAATGATGTAGGCTTGTACTTCCTTGGATCGCAAAAAGTATTGGCTATCCGACTCAAAGAGAAAAATAACTTGAAAAGTATGCTTATCGCCTCCCGGGCAATTTCCATCTACTGTAAATCAACTAATTTTCGCTGGCGATTTAATTTCGCTGATATCGCCGCTTGGTGCCAACCGGCCAAAGTAAATCGCAGGCTAAAGTTTGCTCTAGAGTAAAAGATGCTAGATTGAACCCCAATCGGCCAAAGTTTGTTCACGGCCAAATGTTTCATTTCGAGATCGGCCAAAGTTTCTCACCGGCCAAAATTTGTTGATTTACAGTACCTGTTTCTGGCTAGTATCAGTTCTATCACACTTATCAATCTTCCTTATTGGCGTCACGCCATCGTGGAGTATAATAATAATAATAATAATAATAATAATGGACTCGGATGGAGAGCCAAGGATTAATTTATACAAAAGAGAAAGGACCAAGGAACTACAAGTTACGCTATTGTCCACTAACACCACCAGTTACTAAATGATCAGCTCATGCGATAACATTATGTTATGTCCTTACAAAACGATCAAAAACTCTAAGGACATCATCGTGAAAGCCGATCCCCGCTTTCATGTTCACACCTGCCTGTTGCCTACTACCCTCCTGGCACTTCTACTGTCTCGCCATGGCCCGCACCAGCTTTCTCCTCATACCTCACACCAGATTTAGCGCTAAATTTGATTATGCTTGTGGCCCTATGTGTTTATAAGCATACTGTTGGGTACACCCGAGTATCAGCTGTCTGATGATTGCCTAACGGCATGAAACTCAGAGTTACAACCAACCTGAACATCCTCCGCTGAGTCTGCTATGTTATGTGCTCATGTTATTTCTATAACATTTTTTCGCCGTATGGTTCGTGACGGCTCATCAGGTGTGCAATTTGAAACTCGGGTATTGAGCCAATAATAAAAGTAGAAAGGAAAAGGACATATGGAAACGAGTTAAGAGTATCAATCGCTATAGATCTATGTCTGGCTTTCTGTCCTTTTCAAGTAAATCGGCTCTTGTTTGGAATTATTTACCAGAGGACCTGCACTACTATCGCTGATTTCCGCGTCAATTTGGCTAAAAGACAGCTTAATGATAGCTTGCATGCCGTCCTACCGGTAGGACCCAAGAAATCGCGCTGCAAAAGTGCTTTTGGTTGAGAAATTTCTTGAAACAATTGTTGAGATGAGGTCTTTGTCAGGCAAAGTAATGGCGCAAAATGCAAGACTGTCCAGTGCATTGCATAGGCGCAATTTTATCAATTGTCAAAATGGCCGCACATACTCCTGTCGGAACGCTAGCAACTCTGTCCAAAGTGAATTTTGACCATGACACATCAATCGTGGTGAGGTACTAATGTTTTTATTTGTCAGCCAAGGCAGTGGAATGCATAATTCCATACACCGTTTCCATGGTTACCATTTGCTGTTACCATGGAATTTCGTACTATGCCTTGTGCGATCACGTCTAAAATTTGTGGACTCCTTCATTAGCCCCTGAGCAACAGTTTAGGGTCAGGTTTTAGGTCAATGTTAGAACAGAGGCCATGCAGCATGTCTGTGTATGATAGTCCTACCGGTAGGTCCTACCGGTAGGACCGAGGTCTATGCAAGCTATCATTAACTCTTAATCATTGTTTTGATTTGCTTTCAAGCAATGTGCATAATCAGTAAATTGATGTTGCTGTTTTTTGTTTTGCTTTTTGGTTTCCCGTTCTCGGGGCCTTCTATTCGTTTTTTTCCGGCCTCTTTTCCGGGCAAATTAACACAATGGTTTAAAATGCAATAAATCATACACTGGAGAAGAAATCAGAAAAATGCATGTGTAAAATAAAGAATTTCAAACCCAAACCAAAAAACTTCAAATCCATTTTTTTATAATTAAAAACGAGAGAGCTTGGAAGCTCAGGGCCGGCCCTACGCTATACTTTTTTGCCTTGATGACCTAGACAAAAAAAAATAGGGATGTTATAAATTCTTTAAAAAATCCTTTTTTTTTTAGACATAACCTGGGATTCGAACCCGCACTATCGCGCGCCCTGCATGCATCCCCCGATACACTTCGCATACATACTAATTCTTCCAAGTAAGTTGTTTCACATTGTGATCTTGCATTTGAAAGCCCTATTTGAATATGCATTGTGGCCAGCCGTCTTTGATGGCACGTTACGGTAGGGGATAGGTACGGGACAGGTACGATCGAGGGTAATACGACACCGTCTCCCTACCGTACCGTACCATCAAACACGGCTGGCCACATACAGCTGCCCGCAATATTCAAATAGGGCTTTCAAACGCAAGATAATAACGTGAAGCAACTTGGAAGAATGGGTATGAATGCGAAGTGTATGGGGGAATGCATGTAGGGCGATAGTGCGGGTTCGAATCCCAGGATATGCCTAAAAAAAATAGGAGAATTGAAAAATTTATAACATCCTATGCTTTTTTGTCGTCAGATACGGATAGCGCCAGGCGTGACACAAACAAACAAACACACAAACAAACAAATACCAAACGAGAGAGCTTGGAAGCTCAGGGCCCTACGCTATGCTTTTTTGCCTTGATGACCTAGACAAAAAAAAAAGCATAGGGATGTTTTCTTTAAAAAAATCCTTTTTTAAAAACCTGGGATTCGAACCCGCACTATCGCGCGCCCTGCATGCATCCCCCGATACACTTCGCATACATACTAATTCTTCCAAGTTGTTTCACATTGTGATCTTGCATTTGAAAGCCCTATTTGAATATTGCGGGCAGCTGTATGTGGCCAGCCGTCTTTGATGGCACGGTACGGTAGGGGATAGGTACGGGACAGGTACGATCGAGGGTAATACGACACCGTCTCCCGTACCGTACCGTACCATCAAACACAGCTGGCCACATACAGCTGCCCGCAATATTCAAATAGGGCTTTCAAACGCAAGATAATAACGTGAAGCAACTTGGAAGAATGGGTATGAATGCGAAGTGTATGGTGGAATGCATGTAGGGCGATAGTGCGGGTTCGAATCCCAGGATATGCCTGAAAAAATAGGAGAATTGAAAAATTTATAACATCCTATGCTTTTTTGCCGTCAGATACGGATAGCGCCAGGCGTGACACAAACAAACAAACAAACAAACACACAAACACACAAATACCAAACGAGAGAGCTTGGAAGCTCAGGGCCCTACGCTATGCTTTTTATGCCTTGATGACCTAGACAAAAAAAAGCATAGGGATGTTATAAATTCTTTAACCCGCACTATCGCGCGCCCTGCATGCCTCCCCCGATACACTTCGCATACATACTAATTCTTCCAAGTTGTTTCACATTGTGATCTTGCATTTGAAAGCCCTATTTGAATATGCATTGTGGCCAGCCGTCTTTGATGGCACGGTACGGTAGGGGATAGGTACGGGACAGGTACGATCGAGCGTAATACGACACCGTCTCCCGTACCGTACCATCAAACACAGCTGGCCACATACAGCTGCCCACAATATTCAAATAGGGCTTTCAAACGCAAGATAATAACGTGAAGCAACTTGGAAGAATGAGTATGAATGCGAAGTGTATGGAGGAATGCATGTAGGGCGATAGTGCGGGTTCGAATCCCAGGATATGCCTGAAAAAAAGGAGAATTGAAAAATTTATAACATCCTATGCTTTTTTGCGGTCAGATACGGATAGCGCTAGGCGTGACACAAACAAACAAACAAACAAACAAACACACAAATACCAAACGAGAGAGCTTGGAAGCTCAGGGCCCTACACTATGCTTTTTTGCCTTGATGACCTAGACAAAAAAAGCATTCGAAGGGATTCGAACCCGCACTATCGCGCGCCTTGCATGCATCCCCCGATACACTTCGCATACATACTAATTCTTCCAAGTTGTTTCACATTGTGATCTTGCATTTGAAAGCCCTATTTGAATATGCATTGTGGCCAGCCGTCTTTGATGGCACGGTACGGTAGGGGATAGGTACGGGACAGGTACGATCGAGGGTAATACGACACCGTCTACCGTACCGTACCGTACCATCAAACACAGCTGGCCACATACAGCTGCCCGCAATATTCAAATAGGGCTTTCAAACGCAAGATAATAACGTGAAGCAACTTGGAAGAATGGGTATGAATGCGAAGCGTATGGGGGAATGCATGTAGGGCGATAGTGCGGGTTCGAATCCCAGGATATGCCTGAAAAAAAAAATAGGAGAATTGAAAAATTTATAACATCCTATGCTTTTTTGCCGTCAGATACGGATAGCGCCAGGCGTGACACAAACAAACAAACAAACAAACACACTCACAAATACCAAACGAGAGAGCTTGGAAGCTCAGGGCCCTACGCTATGCTTTTATGCTTTTTTGCCTAGCTCATCGTACATGTTTATTAGAACTGATGGAATTGTCTTTTTCCGTTGATTGGCCACATCACTGTATTGCAAAAACGTTTCAATCGGTTTGAATAATGAGTTAGGCAAAAGTATTTGCAGAATTTATTGCGGATTGTTATTTCTCTAATAATCATCTACTTTTGTTTTGCTCCTTCTTTAATTTTTATCTCCTTATATTGTAAATCAACAAATTTTGGCCGATGAGAAATAGAAACCTCTCGATTAGAGAGTTAAAGATGCACGTTATTTCCGACGTAACGCGCAGTTTCACGTCAAATTTGAAATCGATCGGTATTTTTGCTCTCACATGCATCCATTGCTCAATCATGCATCATTTGCCTATATGACAAACGTTGGCCTGCGATTTACTTTGGCCGGTTGGTACCAAGCGGCGAAATCAGCGAAATTAAATCGCCAGCGAACATTAGTTGATTTTAATACAGGAATCGGATTTTCTGGCCTTTTTGTAGTAATACATGTACATAATCATTGATCTGTTGAGCCAATGACGACGCCGAATGCATGGTTGCCTGTGGAGCACATTACATAACTTTACAGTCTCCTAAAATACGTATCCTGTCCGACGGCAAAAGAGGCTGCAGATTTAGTTTTTCTGCGCGTCTACGGGATGTCTGCGACGCGAAAGTTCAGCTCGCGTTATTTGGCTCGCACGTCGAAAAAATCAACGCGAGTGACCTGCTGCTCACGTCGAAATTTGGACATTACATAACTTTACAGTCTCCTATATAAATACGTATCCTGTTCGACGGCAAAAGAGGCTGCAGATTTAGTTTTTCTGCGCGTCGACGGGATGTCTGTCCTGACGTTTACTGGGACCGGCGCTGACTCTGCCGATCACGGGCGTTCTGGACTCGACGGGATGTCTGTCCTGACGTTTCCTGGGACCGGCTTAGACTCTGCCGATCACGGGCGTTCTGGACTCAACGGGATGTCTGTCCTGACGTTGCCTGGTACCGCCGGACTCTACCGATCACGGGCGTTCTGGAGTCGACGGGATCTCTCTTCCGACATTTCCTGTAACCGGCACTGAATCGCTCGTTCACGCTTATTTTGGAGACGACGGGATCTCTCTTCCAAAGTATGTTTATGCTGTCGCATCCTATCACCTAATCGGCGTCTATTCTAATTTAATTTCCTCCTCGTCTCCCTATTTCTTTCCAAATCCCCCTCTACATCAGGGAGTCGTATGCATAATACGACGAATATTGGTACGGTACGGGACAGATACAGGAGCCCGCAAATATTGTGGACAGCTGTTATGTACAATCCTGTAGAGCCTTTGTAGTCACAGATACGGGACAGGTACGGGACAGATACGGGATAGCGCCAGGCGTGACACAAACAAACAAACAAACAAACACACACACAAATACCCAATTAAAGCTGTGTGGACCCTGGCTAGCGCCAGACGTTACTGAAGTAACGTCTTCTGCATAGCTACGGGAATTAAAGCTGTGTGGACCCTGGCTAGCGCCAGACGTTACTGAAGTAACGTCTTCTGCATAGCTACGGGAATTAAAGCTGTGTGGACTGTGACAATATGACAATGTGTGTAGTGTGACGATACAATGTGTGAGTAGACAAACATTACGATTATGTATTTGTTGTGGTGACATCTGTCATCAGTGTGTCATGCCTCTTACCTCATTGTAGCTTCATCCGTAGTCCGCTTCCATTGTCCTTGTTCTATATTCTATTCTATTTCTTCTAGTGCTAGTCGTTTCACTTCTCATCTTTCCTTGAAGTAGTATATTTGAATTGTAATTGTTTTCCTGCAACGATCGCTCGTCGATCGTTGTGTTATTTATTTTGTGTCTTGACTTCATTATTAACGCTGGCGAAATAAAAATTTTATTTCGCCAGCGCCTGCAAGGCTGCATGCGCATGCTAGATTCTGTGTTCACGCGTGACTAATGATGTCATCGCTAATAGATTCGCTATGCCTTTGCTTGCTGCGCTTAGTCGCGTAGCTGGTCTTGTTGTTTTCTTTGCTTCGTTCGAGTTACTACTTTGTAGTTGCTGTTGCTCGACTTCGTTTTCTGATCTATTTTCTGCATTCAATGGTGGCCGTGATGGCTGTCGCTGCAATAGCAGCTTCAGCCACGACGGGCCTCTATCGGTTGCTCTGCCGCCATTTTGGATGCCATGTTTTACAGTAGACGTGTCTTTTCCTGGCTGAAGTGCTCGTGATTTTGTGTTGTTGTTCTTTTCTTGTTCTCTCTCCTTTTCCTACTTGCATTTTTCGTGATTCATACATTTCCACCAAGAGGCTGCCGTTTGCGCTGGTGTGTTGTGTTGGGTGAAGAGGGGTGATAGAGAGACTAGATAGCTCCAGTTCTCCCACAACTTTGTGGTGCCGAAACCCGGGATAGAGTCGGGGAAGTGTTTTCGGAGTACGAGTGTCGTAGTGATTTATTTATTTTGTGAGACGAGAGTTCTTACTGTGAGTTCCTACTGTGTGTTCCTACTGTGTGTTCGTGGAATACTTTTGGATGCCATGTTTTAGACGTGTCTTTTCCTGGCTGAAGTGCTCGTGATTTTGTGTTCTTGTTGTTCTTTTCTTGTTCTCTCTCCTTTTCCTACTTGCATTTTTCGTGATTCATACATTTCCACCAAGAGGCTGCCGTTTGCGCTGGTGTGTTGTGTTGGGTGAAGAGGGGTGATAGAGAGACTAGATAGCTCCAGTTCTCCCACAACTTTGTGGTGCCGAAACCCGGGATAGAGTCGGGAAAGTGTTTTCGGAGTACGAGTGTCGTAGTGATTTATTTATTTTGTGAGACGAGAGTTCTTACTGTGAGTTCCTACTGTGTGTTCCTACTGTGTGTTCGTGGAATACTCGAGTGAATCATGTCTACCAAGTATCTTGTCCAGCCGTTTTCTGGCAAGGATGGTGAAGACCTAGAGGAATTCTGGGCAAAGTTTTTAGTTTTGGCCACTGCCAAGGAATGGTCCGACGAAGATGCACGCATGCAACATCTACCTTTATATTTGCAGGGCGATGCATTTCGAGTGTTTGCTCGTATGGCAGAGAGTGACAAAAGCAAACAAGCAGATAAGAGGTCAAGAAAGTTTTAGTGAGTGCGTTCAGTGTGACGCCGTCCAGAGCGTATGATTTGTTCAAGCGCCGTTGTTTGCGTGTGGATGAAAGTGTCGACGCGTATGTGGCCGATTTGCGGCGTTATGCAGCGCTGTCGGGGCACAAACCGCGTTAACCATGGGTGGTACCGCCAGCAAGGATCCGATCGTGATCGAGCACTCGCTGGCCTACAGCCCGAATTTGGCCGCCAGCTGAGAATGTCGCTGGCTGGCCAAGAGCTGACGATACCTGCGTGTCTAGAGCGTGTGCGTGCGCTCAGAGCCAGTGAGACCGGCCGATGCTCGGTACACGACTCACGAGCAGGTTCAGCCAGAGCGTTTCTGTTAGTGCCAGTACCAGTAGTTACAGTGGAGGTGTACACCGACCTCGCAGTACTGTTGTCTGCTATAACTGTAATCAGCCTGGGCATGTCCAGCGTAACTGCCCAGAGTTCAAGAAGAAGCAGAAGCCCCGTTTCAGTGGACCAGTAGTGTGCCACTTTTGTGATCAGCCTGGTCATGCAAAGCCAGCGTGCCCTGAGAGAAGGAAGTGGCGAGAAGCCAAGGCAGCAGAACGTGTGGCGGCTGCTGGTACGTCGCATAGTAGCAGTGACAAGTGCCTGTGTGCGGTGTCCACTGAAGCTGCCCCCTTGCCGAGGATCTATGTGGACGTGGAGTCGGCCAAGCCGGATGACTGGTGCCGTGGAGAGGCCATGCTGGACACCGGGTCGGCTCGCACGCTAGTGTCGTCTGGCTTTATACGTGCGGCTAAGATGTGCAGCCAAGTGTCGGCGGTAAAGCAGGAGAAGCTCCTCGCCCTGGATGGCGAAGCCCTGCTGATTTCGGGATCAATTTCATTAACGATTCGTCGCCTGGATGGACCCGTAAATTTGCCGCCTACCCGTGTTGTTGCGTTTGTAGTTCCTGAGCTGTCGGTTATAAATGCTGACCTGTTGCTGGGATCTGACCTTGTCCGTGCCATCGGTGGCGTCAGGTTGCAGTACTCTGAGTCAGGTGATCTGCGGTCCGTGTTGTTTGGTTCGTCAACCGCCAGTGACCCTGAGCCTGTGTCGTCTGTCGTTAGTGATGCTCTGCAGTCGCCGGATCAGCACCCGTCTCGGCATGTTAGCGTGGTGTAAGACGGTGAGGACGTGACGCTATCTGTCGAGGATGGTCAGATAAAGTGGCTAGCAGCTGAGCAGTGTTGGCAGGCAGCATGGAGGTGGAAGGACGACAAGCCACCTACCGGACGCATCGGCAGCGGCATTGGGGAGTACCCCCGGAAACTTAGCGATGATCAGGAGAAGCTGTTCCAGCATGAAGTGGACTCCTGGATCGGTAACGGATGGCTCATCGAGCATGATGAAGAGGTACACGGAGCTCCTGCTGCCATTCTGCCATGGCTTGCGGTCAGCCAGGAGCACAAGCCTACTACACCTGTTAGGCCTTGCCTCGACTACCGTGCGCTGAACCGTGCCCTCGTGTCTCAGCCCGGTATGGATGCCTCTGTGTGTGGCGAGAAGTTGCGTGAGTGGCGTACGCACTATGCCAATGAGTATGGGATGTTGGATATTCGAAAGGCCTATCTGCAAGTCCGTATGTCACCTGAGTTGCTACGGTATCAGTGCGTGAAATGGAGGGGAAAGCTGTACGTGATGACCCGCATGGCTTTCGGGTTAAGCGTTGCACCGAAGTTCATGGACGTGATAGTCAAGTGGTGCACACGAGATCATGATGGTGTTGACAATTACGTTGACGATCTGTACGTCCCGAAACCGCAGACAAAGGCTGTTGCGGATACCCTCGAGCGCTATGGCCTGCGCACGAAGCCAGCTGAGCCCGCCAATTCCGCCCGAGTACTTGGACTTCAGCTGTTTACGGGCCAAGATGGTCAAACCCGTTGGAAGCGTCGAGACGGAGTGAGTCTCGAGTGTGGCAAGCTGACCAAGCGTGGTGTATTCTCGTGGTGCGGCCGACTGGTATCGCACTATCCCGTGTGCTCGTGGCTACGACCTGCCTGCAGCTTTCTGAAGCGCCTAGCATGTCGTGACGGTGGTGGTTGGGATGATAACGTCCCCAATGATGTGGTAACCTGTTGTGCCGAACTAGCAAGTCGCGTCCAAGATGAGGATCCGGCCACAGGCGTGTGGAATGCGTCAGTGAACGAGCAGCAGCTCACCGTGTGGTGCGATGCGTCTGATGTCGCATATGGCATTGTTGCCGAAGTTGGTGGTGAAGTCATGGAGGACAAGTCTTGGCTTCGCGATGCCGACGAGAAGAAACATATCAACATTGCAGAATTGGAAGCAGTGATCCGTGGGTTGTCGACGGCAGTCGAATGGAATGCCAGCAACATCCGTCTTGTCACTGATTCCAAGACCGTGTACGGCTGGGTGAAGTCGTGCCTGAACAATGAGCGGCGTGTCAAGGTGTCCGGTCTGAGCGAAGTGTTGGCTCGCCGACGACTAAACATCATCGACGACATTGTCGCGACCGCGAAGCTGTCCGTCACCATTGAGTGGGTACCGTCCCAGCAGAACAAGGCTGACAAGCTGACGCGTGTCCCAGATTTGTTCATCCGCTGCTGGAAGAAATCAGCCAAGCCAGATGTAGTTGCTGCCGTCTCTGCACCCCCGAAGATTGTGAGTGCTATTGTGTTGCAGGACATTCTTGATGCGCAGAAGTCTGATCCTGTTGTTGTTAGTGTGATTGAGTCTGTGCGTCATGGTCGTGAGATTTCCGACCCGGTATTTAAGAAATTGAAGTCTCAGTTGTCTGTATCTGATGATGGTTACTTGTATCGTAGTGTGAAGGTACCGCCGAATGATGTGCGTGTTGTACCAGTTGTGTCTCAGTCATTGCAGCAGCGAGTGGTGTGTCGTGCCCATGCTGTGAGCGGTCATTCCAGTTGGGAGACCACATGGAAGCTGTTGCGTGCGAGTTGTTATTTTGCAAATATGGCTGTTGTTTGTCAGTCGTTGATTCAGTCGTGTGATGTGTGTGCTGCTGCTAATTCGAAGCGTGGGCCTGTTGCTGAGCCAACACGTCCGGTTATTCCATCTGGTCCGTGGAATGTAGTACAGCTCGATACCCTTGAGTTGGGTCCGAATAGAAGCCACCGGTATCATTGTGTTCTTGTCTGTACCGATATGTTTACTAAGTGGGTCGAGGTTGTCCCATTGGTTCGCCATGATGGTCCGTCTCTAGCAGCTGCGTTTGTGGATGTATGTTCCCGCTGGGGTGCCCCAGCAGTTGTACGTTGTGACAATGGAACAGAATTTGTCAATCAGGTAGTTACGTCTTTGTATGATGCATTTGGTGTAGAGGTGCGACATGGCGCAGTGCGTCATCTGCAAAGTCAAGGTGGTGTAGAGCGTTTTAACCGGACTTTGCTGACTTTAATTCGCAAGATTGTGCACGAATCAGACGATTGGGTGTCTGCTTTGAATGTATCATTGTACTATTATCGTATTCGTCCCCACTCTGCGCTCGGTGTTTCCCCAAGTGAAGCTATGTGTGGCTGGGTCCCTCATGGCTTGATTGTGGACGATGAGCGTTGTGACATGTCCCCCAGTGCATGGGTTGATAGCTTGTGTAGTAAAGCGGCTGTTGTGCGAGACTACGTGGAAAGTGAGTTGTCCTCTGCTGATTTTGTTCAGCCTGTTGGGTGTGTGAACCCCTACAGTGTTGGTTCCACGGTGATGTTGCGGCAGGGAGATCGCCGCCAGAAGCGAACAGCGCCGTACGAGTCCGGATGGACAGTTGATAGTGTTGTTTCTCCATCAACTGTTGTAATTGTTCGAGACACTAATGGTCGACATTGGGTGAAGACTGTCAATATTGATCTAATTAAGCCGTCAAGTGTGAGTGTGCCTGAGTATGATGATGCATGTGCTTCAAGTACTAGTGATTCTGATTCTGATGTGCCAGCCCAACCACTTCAAGTTGGTGGTCATCGTCTTCGCAACCGTGCTGGTCTCGTTCCTCCTATTCGTTACCGTAGTTAACTGTTGACGTGATGTCACCAGGGGGAGGTGTGACAATATGACAATGTGTGTAGTGTGACGATACAATGTGTGAGTACTTAGACAAACATTACGATTATGTATTTGTTGTGGTGACATCTGTCATCAGTGTGTCATGCCTCTTACCTCATTGTAGCTTCATCCGTAGTCCGCTTCCATTGTCCTTGTTCTATATTCTATTCTATTTCTTCTAGTGCTAGTCGTTTCACTTCTCATCTTTCCTTGAAGTAGTATATTTGAATTGGTATATACAGAAGCCTTGCTTGGTAGTTTAACATGTTTTTCGATTTTGACAGCATGTTTAAATACAAGGCGAGGACGCGTAGTGCTCCTGACTACAACCATAAACCGGTTGGCAGAGTCCTACTACGGCGGCAACACGACGACTTCTACAACACAAAAAAAGAAAATTATAAAAATCCTACCAACCCGTAGAGTAACGAGGGTCCGAACCTGGGTTTTCCCAATACGGTTCAAATGGTCGCAAGACCGGGACTCTGCCAACCGGTTTATGGTTGTAGTCAGGAGCACTACGCGTCCTCGCCTTGTAACATGCTGTCAAAATCGAAAAATATATTTGAATTGTAATTGTTTTCCTGCAACGATCGCTCGTCGATCGTTGTGTTATTTATTTTGTGTCTTGACTTCATTATTTATTTCGCCAGCGCCTGCAAGGCTGCATGCGCATGCTAGATTCTGTGTTCACGCGTGACTAATGATGTCATCGCTACGCCTTTGCTTGCTGCGCGTAGTCGCGTAGCTGGTCTTGTTGTTTTCTTTGCTTCGTTCGAGTTGCTGTTGCTCGACTTCGTTTTCTGATCTATTTTCTGCATTCAATGGTGGCCGTGATGGCTGTCGCTGCAATAGCAGCTTCAGCCACGACGGGCCTCTATCGGTTGCTCTGCCGCTATTTTGGATGCCATGTTTTAGACGTGTCTTTTCCTGGCTGAAGTGCTCGTGATTTTGTGTTCTTGTTGTTCTTTTCTTGTTCTCTCTCCTTTTCCTACTTGCATTTTTCGTGATTCATACATTTCCACCAAGAGGCTGCCGTTTGCGCTGGTGTGTTGTGTTGGGTGAAGAGGGGTGATAGAGAGACTACAGTAAGATCGGGCGCCGAAGAACACCTCGCCGAAGAACACCCAGGCTGGAAAACCGGCAAAATCCAGCGGAGAGAGACACCTACTGAGTCTAATGACTGCCACTGTCAGTTCTCAAACAAAAACAATTTTTATCGAATTGAAAAATCTCACCTGTTAGTGTTGCTCACTAGCCACTAGTGACTAGAGTTGTTCGTCCACGAAATTTGCAATATGCCACTACGGTACCAGCAAGAGTAGGTGAGTTGGCATAGAACAACAGCTATGAAAAGCCATGTTCATCTCCTCTTCACTTTGGAAGGCAGTACAAGCACCCTTCATACCTCGACATTGCCTTGGAGTGGAAGCAAATTCACCATGAGTTTTCCAATTCGCTACAATCGATCTCGGGGTGATGATCGTGTCTTCTTCATCACCACTGCAGCCTGGACAGCCTTCGGGAAGACATGTGTCACTCTCCTGCTCAACAGATTCCTACATCTAGATTTGGTTACCGTCAGGGAACGAAACAGAGCTGCAAAACACCAAAGTAATTGTTTTCTTCCATTCAATTACACTGCTGAACATGCACAGCATGGTGACAGCTAAGCAGTACGCACGTCATCAAGGCCAATTTCCAAATATGGGAGGTGTTATTTATGAAATTTGACACGGTTCCTCTTCTCTGATCGGCTCGAGACATAGCTCATCGGAATCAGCAGGCCCGTAGCAGCCCCATTTTGGTTGGTCCGGCAGGATCCGACCTCGAAGCTCCCCCCCCCCCCCGCCCCCCCCCCCCCCCCGAGCCCAAAGTGTACATGATTGTACGTGTATGTACATGTAATTGTGACCATGCAGAGTAACTATAATAATAATATTCGCAGGATCCACGTTAACATCACTTGAATGTTCAGAAACACACACGCTATCCTTCGAGTGACGTAGGGCGAGAAAAGGAAGAAGGATGTTCTGCGTGAGTCAGGAAAAGGGCATCAGCATGTTATGTCTGTCCAAACAGAAATTCTTGAGGCCTTTGAAGCATAGCAACAGTATCTAAATGCATGTGATAAAAGAGCCAAAATGGACATTTGGGGGAGGAGAAAGGACATTGCAATGGAGGAATGGCAGGAGGTCATACAGTACAGGACACGTAGTTCTACATGTATGTACATGACATGGTATTGGCTATTACCAAGGGTTATAATTATTATACTCTTGCTATTACCATGCACTACCTCTACTTACCGGTATATACCTCACTTCTTCTGTGTATTTCACACATCATGGGTGGACATCCTGAGCTGCTCACATGTGTGAGCTCCTGCTTTTTTTTTTTTTTTTTTTTTTTTTTTTTTTTTTTTTTGGCTGAATATTGGTCCGGCAGCTGCCGGACCTGCCGGACCGCCTGCTACGGCCCTGATCAGTGCCCAATTCTCCTTCGGATAAGCCATACTTATTTTTGGCGTTCAGTTTCCCTTTAAAGCTGTGTGGACCCTGGCTAGTGTAGCGACCTGACTCACTGAGTATTACGTCATTCTACATACGCATGCGCAAGAAATAAAATCATTCTCTTTGGTCACAACTTCTTCGTTGTCCGGTTGGCCAAAGTAGCCGTCGTCTAGGGCCCGACGTAAAACCCTAAATTGGTGACCCCTGACGCTGCGCTCTTCGGAGTTTTGAGCATGCCATCCCTGAGCTCGGCCCGCCGCAGTTTCCTGCTCGCCTCAACTCTCGGGATCCCGTCAATCGCCGGCTGTTGACGTAAAACTTGAGCCTCACCATCACTGGATCCGCCTCGGAGCTGCTGTGGCCCCTGCCACCCTCCCCGGCCCACCTGGATACCCCGCTATCCTGCCACGGCATTGTCCAGTCGTCCGTATTCGTCCATATTCGTCCTGGCCTCAAGCTGGAACTTGGCCACCTCCACCCGTCGTACCAGCTCACTCACTGTGCACGCACGCAGGCACACGCCCGGCACCGGACCCCATGGAGCTGCGCTCTCCTCCATCTGTCCCCGCCTCACTCGGCATGCCTCGCATCAGTGCAGCGCTCCTGCTGGTATCCCGCCAAGCCTGCAACCTGCAGCTGCCTCTGACATGATAACACCCCTCTGTCACGCGTACATTTCTTCTTTTCTTTCTTTCCGCCTCTGACACGATAACACTCCTGTCATGCGTACGTTTCCTCTTTTCTTTCTTTCTGCCTCTGACATGCTCTCCACCTCTGTCACGTTAACACACCTCTGACATGTTAACCCGCCTCTGTCATGCATCTCTCTCATTTCCGCTTTCTGCACTGTTTTTGATTTTGTTTCGGCCTTTGTTGCCACGTCACAAACAAATTTCATACACGCAGCGCTCTCGCTTGTACATATGTATCATATTATATTTTTGCCTTTCCGCCTTGTACATGCTGCGCTTTCCTTTCTCTTCTCTTTCTTGTTTCTTGTTTATCGTGCTTCGCTCCTCCCGACCTCACCACTGGCGGGGGAGTACTGTAGCGACCTGACTCACTGAGTATAGGGCTTGAAAGTGCTACGTCACAGCATAGCAACAATTTCAAAAATTCAAAAACTGGATCCACTTGGATCCAGTTTTTGTATGGATCCAAGCACATTTCAAGCGGTCTTACCCACAGCATGGTGATGTAGCCAGTGAAACTGACTGATTTGGCTACTGGGGGCGGGGTTACAACTGGTGGCGAAATAAAAGTCACACCTGCATGCGACATGAGTGGGTTGCTATGCACCCACATACTTAGGCAATAGCAAAGTCAAACCTTAGTGGATCCAAAAATAGAAATCTGATGTCAACTTACTACTCCCTGGCCGTTTTGACGTCATCACTTTCAAGCCCTATTACGTCATTCTACATACGCATGCGCAAGAAATAAAATCATTCTCTTTGGTCACAACTTCTTCGTTGTCCGGTTGGCCAAAGTAGCCGTCGTCTAGGGCCCGACGTAAAACCCTAAACTAGCGCCAGACGTTACTGAAGTAACGTCTTCTGCATAGCTACGGGAATTAAAGCTGTGTGGACCCTGGCTAGCGCCAGACGTTACTTATTATTATTATTATTAGACACAATCTCATAGCATGTGACAAGCATAGCTAGTGCAGGGACAGAATCCCCTGAGACAAGGGCGTTGAGCCAGCCACGGCAATTGTAAGCTAGGAAAACAAAGCAAAAATAATATGAATTAAAGCAGAAAATGAATGGAAAATTACAAAGAAAAACGATTAACGGAAGTGAGCACTATCAAAATTCGTGCATCACCCAGGTATTCGAGAATGTTCTTCGATGATAATTATTGCGTCTAGTTCAGTTGTGATAGTAGATCTTTAAACTGACCAATAGAAGAACAAGTTTTCAGACCGTATGGTAATGATAACCAATGAGAGTAGCCGGAAAACAAAGGGGACTTTAGATACTGGGCTGACTTAACAAGAGGCAGGGTGAGCGCGTTACGGGTTGAGCTTGTCGAAAACCAATAATTGTTGTACTTCATCATGTGTGAAGGGGTTTTATGAAGAAATATCTTATGAACCAGTGTACAGAGATGGTGCTTATGACGAACGGAGAGAGGAGAAGTGTGTGCAAGTCGATAAAGGGCATCCGAAGGAAAACATCGATCCTTGTTGTAAAGAATTTTAAGTATAAATCTATGGTGGACTTCTAATTGGCTCAGAGTTGTGTCAGAAAGGCCACACCAAGCGGTATCGCAATAGTCGAATATAGGGAGAATATACTGAAGTAACGTCTTCTGCATAGCTACGGGAATAAAAATAAATTATCGTGTCCGTTCCCGAAGGGAACTCACGACGGCCGCTAAGACCCGTTAAACCCTAGCGGCAGATGCAGCGCCTAACGGTGGGGGTGAGTGGATATCGGGTAAGCCTCACAACCA